TCGCTGGTCGCTGGTTTAGAGACAGGGCCTATTCATAGCATGGTGTGGAATATTCCATCATCAGTCCTTAAGTTGCTTTGAGCGGCCTTGTCGGAGCAGGCTCTAGTTAAAGAGTTGAGCTTGTTCATATAAGCAATTCTAAAAAGGTCAAGAAGGCGAATAAAAATGCAACTTGGCGTTGTTCTCGCAAAGAAATGGCCTGCTCTTGGGTGACAGGTTAGATGTGAATTTCAAAGGCGGCCAGGCATTTTACCAAATCATACATTACACATATGTGATTTACTGATTGGCTCGAAGCTCGGCTTGCAAATGAAAAATGAATTCAGATTGTCCGATGCCCAGATTTTGCAACTTTTCAAATACTTAACCAAAGTGAAATGCTGCAATGATATGAGCAGGCCTCAGTATACAATTAATCCCAAATCTATTCTCACTGAGGGTGAAATAAAGTTTCAATCCCTACTTGGTCACGTCAGCACCCCCAACGGGAATCGAACCATCATGTCTTCGTCAGCGTAGGCGACCTAAGATGAATACGGCTATTGTCTTCATAGTTTCTTCGGTTGAAGCCTATTTTAATTCGGTTCATTGAAATCAGAGCACCTTGTTTTCCCTCACTGCAAACATGTCCAATTCTCAAATTACAATAAATTATTCAAAGGTTGTAAAGAAGAAGTTTGTCCTTGTTTTCGCGACTTGATCATGTTGGGAAGAAGACCTAGAGGAACGCACCTTGTCCGGAGTTCATTGTATGCATAATCATTTCCAGAGTAGGACCGTTGACATGGTACATCCACAGACGTTTCGCTGGGATCGTCAGTGAGTCTTGCCGTTCTCAGCAGCCAAGCTACAACTCGTCAAAGCGACAAGTGAAGTCAATACTTTGACCAACTTTCTGTCGAGACGGTTATGCTATTACTCCTCATCCTGTCCTGGTCCTTCTATCCATTTCTAACCCTCTAATCCTATGAACAATTGTGAACAAACATTTTGACTTACTATGGAAGTACCTCTCTAACCTGTATTGGAAAATGTATATATAGATAAATTAGAAGAAAATTTCAAGGTGTGACCGCTAAGGTCATGAGTTCTTATGCGGTAGCTGAAGGACTACTTTACAGAATGATCGCATGGAAAAGAAAAATTGGAGGATTTCCTGAATTTTATAAACCGGATTGATGAAGGACTCAAGTTCACAATGGATTTAGAGGAAAAGGAGCGTTTAGCTGTCCTAGATACAGGACGATAGATATAGCATAATTGTATTGGGGTCGCAGGACGATGATCATATGACTTCTTCGCACAAGTCGGCAGTCTTATCTTCACGAAAATTCTCCTTTGGTTCCCCAGGATTCCATATCACGAATTTATTCTAACCAAGCTTTTCTTCGAACTCCAAAGTCAGGTCACAATATATTACTAGATACTATCAAATATCAATTTATTCAATATTCATTAAAAGTTTGAAAA